CTTTCTATTTTTTTTTTTCTTAACTTTCTCTTTTTTACTACGGCGTATTGAATTAACTTATTCACTATTTTTATGATTGAGGTCCTAAAGCATCTTATTACACATGTAGAAATGGGATAATAATAATAATAAGTCACACAAAATAAACAAAATTAAATTTAGTAGCCTAAAAATCGTCAATTTTCAATAAAAAGATTAAAAGTCGAATATCTCGAAAAGGGTTAAGTTTAGGGTAGGGTGTTTCATGGTGAAATAAGTCAGAAATGACGAGTACTCCACGCCCTTAACGGATCTAGCACGACTTTTCCTGTAACCCTGTATGTATAATAACACCCATTTAATAGTCAAGAAATTTTGTATCAACATTGCATCCGTGTGAAGCCGGGGCGGGTCGTTAATACTTCATTTTTTTATTTAATAGGTCGGCAAACGAGCAGACGGATTACCTGATGGTAAGCAATCAGCGCCGCCCATGGACACCCGCAACGGAGGAGTTACGAGTGCGTTGCCGACATTTTAGGGATATGGAGATTTAAGGATTGGGGAAAGATTGGGGGAAACACAAAACTGTGGTTATTTCACGCCGGTTTTCTGTGAGGCCGTGGTATCACTCCGGTCGAGCTGACCTATCGTGCCGAAGCATGGCTCTCCCGCACTTCATAAATATGTCTTATACTATATTAAAAACTGAAAAACGGTAGGTAAATAATAAGCAAATTATCCACTAGATAGAATGAAGCTACCATAAATTATGTCACAGATTAGATTATGGACGCATATATCGAAGTTTTACGTAATCAAAACTAACATTATAAATGCGAAAGTAACTCTGTCTGTCTGTCTGTCTTTTCTTCACGCCTAAACTACTGAACCGATTTCTGTGAAATTTGGTACAGACACAGTTTGGAACTCGAGAAAGGACATAGGATAGTTTTTATACAAAAAATCTGCAGGTACTCACTATTCCACGCAAACGAAGTCGTGGGGAAAAGCTAGTAACATATAAACGTTATTCAGTGTGTTTGTTGTAAAAATCATCATAAACGGCTACACCGATTTTGATAAAATTATCAACGGTTTAAATGTAGATTAAATACTGAGTATTAAAGGATATTATTATTTACTTGGAGCCGTGGTATATTAAATCGCCTAGTTCGGTCGTCATGATTCCCGGGAGTAGACCATTTTCTCTTTCATAGGAGAAGTCATTTGATGATTATCCCCTCACTAAAAAAAACCTGGTGGTAAGCAGTGATGCAATCGTTGATGGTAAAGCGCACTAGTTTATTAAGAGCATATTCACTCTAGCCTTAAAGACACCTAAATTATATCTGGATGGAAAGACTGCAGCCGGCAAACTGTTCCAATCCCTCGATATACGCGGTATAAATGACGAGGCAAAATGCTTAGTCCGGGCCGCAGGTGTCCGCCGGGATGTCCGAAGGTGAAATGGGGATGGCGGAATCAAATCGTGCAATTCCTGCGCACACTCTCCAAAATGCATCCTGTAGAACACTGCAAGGCTGGCTACTCTGCGCCTGTGCTCGAGACTTTGAGATTGGATCCAAACAAATCTGGATCACCAATCAGTCTCTTTGCACGCCTTTCCTCTGAATCCAAAGCCGCTAGGTAGCATTTTGCAGCACCAGCCCATATGTGGCTGAAGTACTCCTCACACGATCGGACCTGTGCTTTGTACAACATTAGTGATACATTGAATTCAATACTCTTTTGGCGGTTCCAGTGGCGATGAGCTGTATCGGGTTTCCCCCCAACTAGTATACTGATAATGGTTGATAACAAAAGACATGTGTAGCTACCGCAAATGACAACACTACTAGTATTATACACACGAAACTTTGCAAGTAAGGATGGATGTTTGTCACTCTTTTACGTAAAAACTACTGAACGGATTTAAATGTGATTTGGTACAGAAATAGATTGTAATCTGGCATAATATATGGAGCACTTTTTATTTCGGTAAGGAGAGCTAAGTCGCTGGAAGAGGGTGGTAGATATTGTACAATAAATACAAGTTTGGTGTTGCGGATGTCTATGGGCGGCGCTGATTGCTTACCATCAGGTAATCCGTCTGCTCATTATATCTACCATAAAAAAAAGATTGGATTTGGATAATATACCCGCCAAACAGAAATTATTTCGTCGGCCAAATTACAATTTTTATTCTGTGAAAACTGTAGGTATCGTTTATAAAAACGGTAGTATTAATCTTTATTGCTATTTATCAATATTTATTGAGGATTGAACATTGTACAAACTTTGATAAAAATGTAAATTCTTAATACTGGCTCCGTGGTTGAGTAAGCACAGGGCCTCGGATAGCATAGATAGAAGGCCCAGGAGAAAATACCAACACAACATAAAGGATACAAGAAATTTAAATTTCGTGTTTCGTTTTCGGTTCATTAGAGTGTGAAATGGTATAATTTTTGACAATTAAATAAATAAATAGCTATCAGAAAACATTTACATAATAATTTAACCTTACAATCGTGGTACTTCGCGACACAATAGATGAATAATAGCTGCGCGAACGTCGGCGTTTACTTGGGGTTTCATGAATTAATAAATTTTAGGCACTCATGTGTATTAAAAAGTGAAATTTCGTAAGTAAGGGTGGATTTTTTTATGTAAATTCTACTGAATGGATTTGAATGCAATTTGGCACATACAACGGGCCTAACTAGCATAATACATATAAATTATCTCTTATTTAAAAACATCCTCAGATATTTTTGGAAAATTCGATTAAAATCGGTCTATCAGTTTTCACGTAATAGGCTGACGAACATACAGACACGTAAAGCGTGTTAGCTGCGAGGCATGCGTGTAATGGTTAGATTGTCATGTAAACTAGTTATGTCATTATTATTAGTGAATATTCAAAAGCTAGTTGTTTCGTAATGAAGACGTCTGCGAGAACGATACCAGAGCTCAGTATGCATAATATAACATAAAATATGTCTTAGAAAATACTGAAGGATTTTAATTTTTAAAGTTAATACATCTACTGTCTGTGCAGTGCTGGACATAGGCCTCCCCAAAAGCACGCCACTGAGCTCGATATTCAGCTCTTCTCATCCAACCACTGCCAGCCCCCTCACGGATATCGTCAGTTCACCTAGCTGAAGGGCGCCCTACACTATATTTGCTTAGACGCGGTCCCCACCCTAGAATATGTCACAATGGTCATCGGTTTTTCGAAAAATATAACTTAGTTCAATTAGTACAATGTTATTAAATTTTAATTTAAAAACAATGATTAACACTACATTATAATACTAATTAGTATAAAAAAATATTAATGAATGAAGAAATGAGTATCAATTAATAATGAAAAAATACAATACTATATAATTATTGGAACCAAGTTAATCTTGTACTTAATGATACTAAAATTTTCAGCTAGACATTAATAGATAAAAGTGATGGCTATAAAAAAAGATTAATCAAAGAAGAACCTAATTTTTTAAGAGTGTGTCAAGGCGTGCACAAGCCACAAGTTTTTCTCGGGTGCATTTGCAAACATACAAATTACTCCCAGACCCTGAATAACTTTTTTTATCGCACAGAGTTTTTCCGTACACCCATACATTGCACTGGACAGCCGATTACCTAGCCACCTTGTAAACTTAGCAGTCTATTTTTGTATTCTTTTAAAAAATGTTTTTTTTTAAGTCTGTGTGATCATCTATCCTAAATAATCCCAATATTATAAAGAGGTAAAATTAAGTAAAATGTAAGTTTGTATGTAGGGGTAATCTTTGGAACTGCTGGTCGGATTGCTGAAATTCTTTCACTGATAAATAGCTACAATGTGCCTGAGTGCATATATGCTATAAAACATTTTTAAAAGTAATTATTTCAAACAACAATTTATTTAGTACTTTATTACTATCTTGTTAAATGAAGAGGAAAAAAATCTTATTAATCACTACATAGTATAAAACAAGTGACTTTCCCTGTCCTTATATCAGTATGTTTGCTTACATCATGGAAACACCAGAACAGATTTTGATGTGATTTCTTTTAAAAGATTGAGGAGGAATATGTATTAGAACATCCATTAAGTAGTGCAGAAATTAAGTATCAGTGTTGTAATGTAATGTGTTTTTAATAAAAAGTATTAATTACTTAGTTATATTTTTGTGGGGACTTAATGAAGCAACATTAGAATGATATTAAAGATAATAATTAATAAGCACTAAATAGAAATGTGAAAATTGTTTTAAGAATATTGATACATATTAGAATCTAATTGGACATTTTTGGATTTTATAGTTGATTTTATGTTAAAGAAATTGCAGGCAGCTAAGATACACTTAGATGAGTTACTTATGTGTATTAAGATATTTTTCAGTAAAATGTATATATGTATGTAAAGAAACAGCATAAGTGCAATTATTTTGGCAAGTCAGCGAAGCCTTTGCTTGCGATCGAGACATTTAAGATAATAATAGCCTACGGCGCGTTACTGACACGTTTTTATAGAAAGTTCGTAAAAATTGAGTGAAATAAAGAAATCAATTATCAACATTTGCTATCAGAATGTCAGCAATGTGTCATACACAGCTATTCGCATTAAATAATAATTTACAACCATTACCGAACTAGTTATGAAAACAATAACGACTATTTAATTTTAATGTTATGATAAATTATTTAAGGATTTTTAAGCGTGTCGACTGCTTTCGTGGAACCAAAAAACATGATCTCGGCAACTCATTCGCCTCTCTTTCTAACAACAATAAAAGCGTATAGCACTGTCCTTTTCACACATGACAGATTTCACTGACGTGTCGCTGTCAAATCGTATGGACCGAAACAACAAATGATTTTATATATTTTTTATTCAATATTTATAACATAACACAAATATGCATGAACGCATATATGTAGGTAAGAAGTTCCTGCACAAGCTTAAAACTAAAAACAAGCGTTTATCATTGATGGAATAGGAGAAATTAGGTTATACTTACTGCCTCCGTACTCCCAGAACGGAACGGATCCATCTTTTTGCGCTAAATACGGCGGCTTGAACGAATATTTGTATTCAAAGCGTCTGTGCACGGACTGTGTATTGACGCACACCAAAACGCATAATATCACACTGCACAATACTAAATTTATTTTAATCGAAGACATATCGACGGCTTTCAACAACCGTACTCGCTCACGTCAAGAGTCAAAAAAATTGTTGATCGCTATTCGTTCGTGATTTGTCACCTGCGAAACGTTCGGATACACTACACAAAAATATTGAGCAAGTTAAGTTGTCTTTTTTATTTTAAATTTTTTACATGATCTAATTCGAGAAAAATATAAAGATTATATGGATGGAATATGACAGAAATTATATTTTATATTAATAAAATTAACTGTTCTTATTAATATGTCAGTGGTCATCAGACATTTTTATAAGTTATTGATTTTTTTGTTCGGATATCAAGTCGTTTAGGATTCGAAAAGTTCGTTCGAAATAGCTCTACGTTCGACAGCGGAGGAAAAAAAAAATATGAGTGTACATTAAACGTCAACGTCATTACGTCAAAGTTGGTTGTCCTTTTGGTCGCAACATCTAAAAATGCGAATTTCATAAAATTGTAAAAATAATAAAAGTAAAGGTACAGATTTTTAATAGGAATATATAATTAATGTAGGTATTATCTTTAATTCACGCTTGTGACCTAGATTGAGTTGGAAACGAGTAGTTTCCAATAAAAACATAGCCATCATAGTTTGTTTTGATTTTTACGCGTTTATTTCTTTCAATATTCCGATAAGAATCCAGTAGTTTCCACTTAGATCGTTACAATTGCTTGATAATGTAGCTATATTAATGATTATATTGCAAATTGCTAAGTATCGGCGTCTGGTTAAACAGAAATTATGAAGCTAGGTACGTGTATTCAAATAAATCCTAGATTTTAAACAGCGGGTTAGTCATGCTCACAATGTAATTATTTATTTAATACCTAATAAAAAAACAGACAGCTAGTATGCTTTTGAGGTAAGTAGTCTATAGTATGGTATAGTGGCCTGACAGGGTTGGAAAGTTTTTAACTACCCACATCTAAAAGTACCTATCAGCTATCAGTAACTTAAGGGTCTTTTAATCAATATACAGTAACTACATTTCTCTTCTATTCACTTTCTGCTGGTCTAGAAGACCTGACTGGACATCAATGTTCTCTGCCAATCTTCTCTTGGTCTTATTAATTGCAACCCCTAACCTTTCCAAGGGTGGGAATTGCCAAGTCCTCCATATTGCTGCAGTGGACTCGAATGGCCTATAAATTGATTCATCATTATGATGTCATGGAGTCATCATCATCATCAGCCTGATGTCTACCACTGAGCTCAATGTTCAGCTCTTCTCATCCAACCACTGACAGCTACCCTGCAGATATTGTCAATCCTTAGACATGTCACCGAATATTCTAAAAATTTTCATAATTCTGTTTAACTTCTTCCAGCTTCATAAGCCATGTCAGAAGAGATGTTCTACCGCCGCCAGGTGTCACGGCAGCACCTAGAAGTGCTGGCACAGTACATGGAGCGGTACCCACCCCTGGCACTGGCCAGTGCACGCTCCAGGGAGGGACACATTCAGTCCAAGAGGATGTGGGAGAAGATTGCTCGTACGCTGAATAGGATTGACGAGAATGTTTCAAAAAGTGGCAAGTGCTGGGCGAGAGTGAGTTTCTTGTTATTTATCTAGATTAAATCTATACTAATATTATAAAGAGTTAAAATTTGTAAGTTTGTATGTAGGGGATAATCTTTGGAACCGCTGGTCGGATTGCCAAAATTATTTCACTGATAGATAGCTACAATGTTCCTGAGTGCTATAGGCTATAAAAAATCACGCTACGATTAAATGGAGCCGAGCAGCGGGTGAAACCGTGCGAGTTTAGCTGGTTCAATGATAAAAATATCAACTTTGTGGTATGAGACCTATTTTGACTTGAAACTGGTTGAGCATTTCTCGAAAAGTTCCAGTAAATATGTTGTATAATTATATCCTTTTGAATAAATATTACTTGATTTCAGTACTGGATAGATTTAAAATTCAAGATCAGACGGAAGTATGCTGTAATACAAAAATGTCTGTCTGAGGGCACACACTGTGCTGTCCACCTGAATCCCCTGGAGGAGCGGATCATCAAGATCCTTACTGACGAGGAGGGGAACCTGCTGCCCACTGCTTCGGTCTACCATCAAATGAAGAGTTACCATCCTCTGCATTACCCGTTAAAGGAAACGGCGGTGAGTTGAAAAATAGGATCTAGATCAGATAATTATTATAAGACATTTTTTCTCGGGTGGGCTGTTGTGGCTGCTACAAGACCCCTCTTTGAGGAGTGGCTAGAGAGAAGCCTTGGCGTCTTCACCTTCCGCCTGAAGCAAGTGCTTACCGCACAAGTTTTGCGAGGGTGTCGTTACGACCGGGTGTCGTTATTGTGTGGATCATCTCGCGCCTGTCCTTAGTTGAGGTCATGATGCGAAGCGAGAGGAACTGGGAAACCGTCTCCTTTCTGCGAAGCAGTCATGCTTGTAAAGGAGCCGAAGCGCGTGAGTGAACTATCCTCCTCACGTCCCAGGCTCCGTAGGAGGAGACACTCTGGGCGTGGGGGATCGCGTGACAATCTCCGCCCACCGTAAGCGCGGGACGGCGAATATGGGTAGCTCGATAGAGCTCTGAACAGAATCATACCCTAGCTTTCGGCGCTTATCGTTCCGCGCCTCATAGAGCCAATAGCTACAGATGGGACCCAACAGGGCCGGTTTTCAACCGGGATGGCGGGGCAAGCGCAATACGGTACCGCGTCAGAAACGGGTTTTTTTTTAGTTTTTAGTCAGTAAGAGTCTGACTCTCCCTCTGGCCCCCCACTTGCAGTCGCAACAACTTTTTAAGCCAATTTCATTTTTGTACCCATTACTTACCTTAAAAAATCTATCTAATTTCCAGAAAACAAACGGCTTAGATATAAAAGAAAGCATCAACACAAAAATAGACGACAGTGGAGGCCTCGACACAGCCGACGACCAATCACAGGACGATTATCTAGTGACGTCATCCCCCATCACTGAACACATAGACTTACCTCCCTCAGACATCAAACCCAACATAAGTATAATGAAACAGGACACAGACCCGATACAGATCACAGAAGAGAAGAAACCTATAGAAGAGTTGAGAAGAGAGTTAGTGGAGTTTGAACTAAAGAAGCAGAAAGAGTTGTTTGAGATGGAGAAAAAGTTTAAAAGGGAGAAACATGAGATGGAGATGTCCATTCTGAGGATTAAGAAGCAGTTGATGGTAAAAGAGTTGAAGAAGTTATAGCAGTGAATTTGAGGACTTGGATCAAGTTTTTTGAAGAATATTCTTTTGCGCAATGAAGACTTCTATTGGTTCGCAATAAGAGTAGTAAAAAGATTGCGCCAGAATAACATTTATGGCTGTTGGCGAAAGAAAAACAGAGGATGTTTGCGCAACGAAGATATAGGAGAAAAAAAACTTAAACAAGATAGTTTGCGCAAGGAAAAGAAAAATATAGAACGTTGTTTACGCGAGAAAAAGTATATATAAAGAAAAATTTGGGAATGTTTGCGCAAGGAGAATATGGCGGATGTTTGCACAAGGATAATACAGAAGGTGGCTTGCGCACGGAAGATATATAGAATGCTTTATGCGCAAAGCAAAAGTAAAAGGTATTTGTTCAAGAATAATACAGAGGATGTTTACGAAATGAGAATATAGAGGATGTTTGCGCAATGAAAATGTAGAGGTGTTTGCGCAAAGCATATATAAAAGGTATTTGCGCAAGAAAAACGTAGAGGGTGTTTGCGCAATGATAATGTATTTGTTGTTTGCGCAAAGAAAAAATAGTTGAATGTGGATGGAATACTATTATAAGTTAGGAAACTATACAGAGATATCTGTTGATAATTTGGAAAACATCTAGTCAAGTCATGAGCAGTTTTTATGTAATATTACTGTTAGAGGTGTCCTCATAATCATCATAAAACAGCGTTCACTGCTGAACTAAGACCTGAAAGCCAGGTCAAGGGCATTTATCTGAAATATTTTGATTTCTCACCTCGATATGTTGGCCATAGTACTAGGTACATATAAAGTGATATATAGGCAGTCATAATAAGTTAATTAATAAAGAATTTTATTTTAATATTATACCTTCATTAGTTTTATTTACAGATTCCCTTTCGATCGGAATTTTAAGCGGATTATGCTGCCGTATCTTCGGCAGGCAGGAGAAGGATCGAAGTGGTTTTTGTGAGGGAAAAATAATCAAATGACTTCTCCCACCTAGGGTGGGACTTACTGACTCAGAACTCCCTCGTTTTTTATCCTGCTCGAGGCTGAGGCCACGCAAGGTCGTGTTTTTTAAGGGGTAGTAGGTAGGGATGGTAAGCTACCTGGGATGGTATGAATACTAAAGGAGTTATGGGTGCGTAGCCGGCCTTTTGGAGATAAGAGTTTTGGGATGGGATGGGGAGAGGGTACCAGCCAGTAACCTTACCCATATAAAACACAATGCTGTATTTATTAAATAAGTAACTCCTTGTATTAATAAAATTTTATTAAAATGACATATCAGGTAGGTCCTTACTGCAACATTATTAATTCTTCTTCTCGAACGGATAGTAAGGATGGTCCAACCACTTGTATTGCGGTATTGTTCTGTAATTCCTGTCGAAGCTCTTCAGCACGTCGCGCTCCGCCTGCGTCAGGCTGAAGTCGAACACCTGGACGTTCTGTTCGATTCGGGATTTCGTCAGCGACTTCGGGATGGGGATCACGCCTAATTCCACCTGGAAAAGAGAATTTGGTTATCATTGGGAATCAGGAAATGGTCTTTGTTGTGATCTGCAACTGCCACCAAAAGAGACGGGCTTTATTAAGTGGCTAGCTACTCTCGCCTGGTTTCACCCGATACTATTAAAAACCTTATCAATTTACAAAAAAAAATTTTTGTAGTAAACATATGCTGTGGTCTCATATAATGCCGGCGTGAAGCAACGCTTCCATATTGTTTCGTCGTATGAGTGAGGTTACCAGAAGCCAACCCATCTCCCATCTCTAAACCTGAAGTCCTGAAATCAATAACAACCTTTTCGACGTGTTTCGACGTGTTGTGAGTGAGGTTACCGGAGGTCCAATCCCTCCTCCCCATCATCAATCCTCAAATCCTCTATCCTTAAATCCCTAATAAATCTTGTAACTCCTTTGGCACTACAAGTGTCTATGGGCAGCGCCGATTACCAATAATCTAAATCTTTTATGTATTCTGTAGCGGCACGATCACGTCGCTACATTACTTAGATACGATAGAGATAAGACACACATGTTAATTGTTGCACGTTTGTTAGGATAGCTAAATCTGAAAATCTCACGCATCTTCTTAGTATATAAGCACCAGCAATTAAAGTAATAAACAGACCTTAACCATCTACAGTCTCATTATTTACCTTGCCACGAAGTCTGGCAAATTGGTGACCCGACGAAGAACAATCAACATGACTCATTCACCCTGCAAATCAAGCAGCAGCCAACAAGAAGCCTTGGAGATATCAGCCGGAACCGCCATTTTTATCCCGTATTCCGGAATTTTGGAGGGACCAACCCAGATTATGGTTTAAGCAACTAGAAGCCATAGTAGCACCACAGAAGCAAGGAGACGATTACAAGTACTATACGGTCATTGCAAAACTGCCAAAAGAAGAAATAATACAGGTTAGTGACCTCATTACTTGCCCACCGCCAATAGAAAAGTACAAGGCTATCAAAGAACGCCTAATCAGTTGCTATGAGGAATCAGACCAACGTCAGCTCCAAAAATTATTGTCTGAAATGGATCTCGGCGACCAGAAACCATCACATCTTCTGCGCAAGATGCGGACCCTGAGTAACGGAAATATCAGCGACGAAACCATCAAACTTCTATGGTTGAGGCTTCTGCCACCATCAGTGACTTCGATTCTAGCAGTCACAGAAGACATAGATGTGAACAAGATGAGCCAGATCGCGGACAAGATATTAATAAATTCAACACGTACAGAGGTGTCAGCTGTAAACGGAAACAAATCTGGCGACGATACAATGTCATGCATACTAGCACAGTTAGCAGAAATGCAATTGGAACTAAATGCAATTCAGCAAGGTCAAAAAAACTATCGACGCAGCACTCAAAGTTATTCCAATCGTCGGCATTTCCTACCACAGTCGAGTTCAAGAGAAAGAAGGCACTTTTGTTTTTACCATGGAAGATTTAAAAAATATGCACAAAAGTGTGTTCAACCTTGTGATTGGAAACAGGATCTCAACTCAAGGAAACAGGGAAACTAATTGAAGCACGGACAACGGCGGAACTCTGTGCTATTCACCCGTCCAACCGCCTCACTATTACCGACCGAAAAAGTGGTATGAGATTTTTGATTGACACGGGAGCAAATATTTCAGTTATTAGCAAGCCACAGAGACATTCACTAATACAAGATGAACAATGTATACTTTATGCCGCCAATGGTACAAAAATTAAGACATATGGTGAAAAAAACACTCTCTTTAAACTTCGGGCTACGAAGAAACTTTGTATGGAACTTTGTCATCGCCGATGTAACACAACCGATTATTGGAGCAGATTTTTTAGAGCATTATAAGCTATTAGTCGATATAGCTGGTCGAAAACTCATAGATAGGGTAACTGAGCTGACAACGCCCGCAACCCTGATCAAATCGACGCAGCAAACAATCCGCACTATTAACATTGAGACGAATCCACGCATTACTCAACTATTAAATGAATACGAGGATATTACGAAACCAGCCTCCTTCCACACTACTCCAAAACACAAGATTAAGCATCATATTATCACTAAAGGACCAAGGAAAATATAAGGAACGCAGTATTAACAGTTCACCCCTCTCGCACCGCCCCTTTGGCACTTATGACGGACGCCAGTTCGACCTGTGTTGGCGCAGTTCTGCAGCAGAAGTCAGGACGTAATTGGGAACCATTAGGATTCTTTTCAAAGAAATTAAGTGATACTCAACAAAAATACTCGACATTCGACAGAGAGTTGCTCGGAATATATATGGCAGTCAAACATTTTCAAAGGTTAGTCGAAGGAAGAGAATTTACTATCTTTACAGATCATCGACCTTTGACTTACGCATTTTCCCAAAAACCGTCATCTAATGATACGCCACGGCGAATACGACAACTGGATTTTATTTCACAATATTGTACCAACATTCAACATATAGAAGGACGTGACAATATTGTAGCAGACGCATTGTCACGGATAGAACAAATTGATGTGCCATCACCGATTAATTATGCTGATTTAGCAAGATGTCAGCATGATGACCAAGAATTATTACGACTTCGTAATAACAAGAATTTAAAATTTTCAATCAGCAGAAACAATCAGCACAAATGCAGTGGATAGTTCATCGACTGCCGCCGCCGTCACAACAAAGGCAGCAGTTTTTATTTCCTTCGAATTAGCAACAATGACATTACATTACGCATAGGATGTAATTTATCAGCAAGGTTAAGTTATTATATAATTAGGTACATACTAATTTTTTTCAATTTATATGTTAATTATTTTTAAAAGGGGGGAGTATATGTAGCGGCACGATCACGTCGCTACATTACTTAGATACGATAGAGATAAGACACACATGTTAATTGTTGCACGTTTGTTAGGATAGCTAAATCTGAAAATCTCACGCATCTTCTTAGTATATAAGCACCAGCAATTAAAGTAATAAACAGACCTTAACCATCTACAGTCTCATTATTTACCTTGCCACGAAGTCTGGCAAATATTCCAATGGGTACCTATAGTAACTGTAGTCTTAAAAAAGACCAACTGAGGTCTAAGTAACTAAGTAGAGATCCCGAGGTCTCATTTGTGAATATGACGTAATCCATAGGATACCTAAATCCGTCTAGTGTCGTGGTGGCCCGGTTCGAGACCAATGTGACTTTTTATTTTAGAGGTAGGTATACTTTTGTACTTTCTAAGATTATTTAGACACCATTGACATAGGTACGGCGAAGGAAAATATCGTGAGGAAGGACTTGCAATTTTTGAAATCACTAATCCGCCTTCAGCAAAAATTGAGCGAAATTAATGGTCAAACATTCTCCGTGTGAGAAGAGGCCTTTGCTGAGCAAAGGCTGATGATGTGTTTGACACATCAGTCAGGGAAACCACTATACATTTTGGAGCAGTTAGAAGCTGTTTAGTGTCCAAACTTACCAGGTATCTTAGGGCAATTTGTGGCACAGTCTTTTGGTATTTATTGGCGATTTCCACCAGCGCTGGGTCGTCTACCCTGGGCGGCGGTGCGGTCTTCTGAGCCTTGTTGTAAAAGAGGGAACCGAAGGGCGTGTACCCCATCACACGGATGTTTTGCCGCGCGCAGTATGCTAGCAGCTCGGGTTGTTGCAGGTTCAAGTTTATCTGGATAAGAATAAGTAAGGATAAAAAATATGGACGTGTTTGTATGATAATATCTCATTTTTGTGTTGTCCTACATTAAAATTGTCCCTTTTTTATATTTTCGTGTCGGGTGTCTGATTCTGATCGTGCGGTGAGCTATCCTCTCGCTCGATCTCAAACGCCCAGAGTGTCACCTACTGCGACGGTTGGGGTGTGAGGTGGAGAGTTACCTCCCGCGCTCCGCCTCCACCTTTGTGAGCATCACTACTTTGCAACACAGAAAAAATAGACAGCTTTCCAGTTTTCACACTAAGGTTGTCCCCTGTGCCATGGATGCTTTAAAACATACGATTTCACAGACATCACACGCACACTCGAAACCCTAAGTCTTACTGTGCGGGAATCAAGCAATCTTCAAGTCAAAACAAATGACTACCACTTACCTCAACTTGCAGCACTGTCGGTTTCTCCAAGCCCAGTTCGAGCAGCCGGTCAATCTGTTGCTGGTTGAAGTTGGACACTCCGATGGACCTGGCGAGGCCCAGGCTCTTGGCTTCGATCATACCGCGCCAGGTGTCCGCGTAGTCTGTGTAGTCATATGTCCCATTCAACTGGAATTTGAAGAACATTCTACAGAAGACCAGTGGAATTGAATTAACTGATTTTATTACTTAAAAAAGCTTTGCCTAAGCGAAAATTTTCGCCTGAGAAAACTAGCGCCAGAGGTTTTGGGGTGTATTTATCTACACATATATAATTGCACATACACCCAGATCCAGAACAAGAATTTGTGGATCTTCTTAAGAATAGTTCCAAGAGTAAAATCTACGCCACGTTGCACAGCAGTCCACCACCAACCACTGCGTCAATCTTCTTCAAGTCTGATCAGCTACAGCTGAACTGAAAGTCTCTCTGACTTAGGCTTATTGCTTTAACCGGTTCTTTTGGCACTTAGATACCGAAACACCAGAACTGGTGTCTTAAGTAATATTCACTGCCATAAGTGTGCGTGAAACAATGAAACAACCACAGCGTTGTGTTTCGCCGTGTAAGTTACCACAGGCCCAATCTCTTCCCAGACCTTTATGACTGATTCACTATCCTAGGGCTAAGGCTGGCAACGCCCTCTTTACTCCTATGGTGTCGCAGGAGTCCATGGTGGCGCCAGATTATTTACCGTCAGGTAATCCGCCTGCTCGTTTTCCAACTTATAACCATAACAGTACTGTTCACTTACAAATTGTCCCACAGGCCAGTGCACGAGGTACAGGTCGACGTATTTCAGGCCGAGGCTGGCCAGCGACTGCCGCAGTGCTGGCACCACCGCGCTCCTCGCGTGCTCGCTGTTCCATAGCTAAACACCATAAATGGATGGAATATATTATTATAATACTAGCGACCTGTCGCAGCTTCACACGGATGCAATGCCGATGCTCAATTTTTCCACTATTTAAAGAGTGACCTTGATCACATCATCTATTGAAAAAAAAGCGCATCAAAATCCGTTGCGTAGTTTGAAAGATTAAAGCATACATATAGAAAGGGACTATGTTTTATATTGTGTAGTGATTACCTATGCCTATTACCTATTTATCGCGAAAGGCTGTAAAGTGATAAAACTTAATGCTATGTTAGGTAGGAGTCTTGAATGCAAGCACATGTAGTCTAAAAAATATACAACTGCAAAATCTTTGCGTGGGATCGACCCTGGGTTCGAACTTCCAAGGGCTCATGCAGCAGTCGATCAGAACAACAATTCATTTTTTTCATTATCTATCGAACCCGTGAAAAGTTGCACTACAACTAATATCTAAAACTACACCACTTGTGTCTTTTAAATCTCTTTCTTCAATTGGTACCTCTTTTTAGGAGGGGTAAGTCATCAACTTACTTCTCCGGCCCAGGGTAGGGACTAGGTACCTACATACTTAGGTGTGACACTGGATCGATTCACTTGTAATTGTCAACAAAATAAAGATGAGTTTGACCACAACAAACCTTGGTAGTTATAAACAGATCTTCTCTCTTGACGCCCTGCGCGATCTTGGCGGCGACTGCCCTACCGACCTGGTCTTCAATCCTGTACGCGAAGGCGGTGTCGATGTGCCTGTACCCTGCGTCTATCGCCCAGGAGACGGCATGCTCCACCTCGTTGGCACCCGGCTCAATACGCGAGTTATGTTGACAGAAACGTCAGATTATTATGAAGACAATAAAGACTACAAGAGTGGGAGAGCCATGCTTCGGCACGAATGGGTCGGCACAGCATACCGGCGTGAAAGAACCACAGCGTTGTGTTTCGCCGTGTGAGTGAGGCAACCGGAGGTCCAGGATCCCTAAATTTCCGAACCCTTATACCTAAAAGGTCGGCAATGCACTGGTAATTGCTCTGTTGTTGCAGGTGTCCATGGGCGACGCTGATTGCTTACCATCAGGTAATTTATCTCCTTGTTTGCCGACCTTATACTTCTATTACAAAAAAAGTATGCTGCTATGTGTTGACACGCGAAAAAGCGCAGTGCAGCGAGCACAGGCCTCAAACTTTAAAATGATTTAGACGACTTATCGAGTTATTTTCAAAATAATTTCCAGATTTTTACTGTTTTTGAGTAACCATGGAGTTTCTTGCTCGTTCTTCTCCATAGGAGTCTACACTTTGGAACGAGCAAATAGCTAGAGGACAGAGAGATAAACTGACACTTTTTGTCTATAAACCTTTTTTGATGTTCAAAAGTGCCTCATATTTGTCTATTTGATATAAATGTTTTGACTTTGTTCCGTGCGGGAATGGAACCCGCGACACGTTGCAATGCAACCACTACGCCAACCATGCAGTCAAAACTTTGTATTTCGTTTTTGTAAGATTAAAATTTAATTGTTTCACAAATTTTCAAAATGTTAAATACCTTTGTGTTATTTCCCAGCCAGGTACCTAAAGCAAGTGCGGGTATGTCATGCCCATCGTGCAGTTTCAGGGTGGGCACATTTGCTGTAACTGTCTGAAACAAATTATTTGAGTGCTTACTGATGTGTCCTGTTACGCAGAATCAACTAAAATACCTAAAAAAGATTTTATAAACACTTCTAATTGAAAATATCGATGCTACTATCAGGTGAGAATAGGCACTATTTTTTTGTAAACTTTCGTCAAAAAAAAACTTATTTATAGTAACTACGAGTATCGTCACACAATATTGATGTTTAAAAAGTAGAGTATTACTCGTACCTGCTTACGTAATATTTTTCCACACAGTCTATGATACTTACCTATATATTTATTAATAACACCTTCAAGAAGAGAGCGTAGGTACCTACTCCTTTTAATAAGACATCTTGTGATTAAGTCTACTGATTTGTCGCTGTAAAGAATCAAAATCTTTTGTTTGGTAGGAATCAATGCATTCTCTCACAGAAAACCGGCGTGAAATTTATATGAAACTAGCGGCAAGCCCCCGCTTTGCAAGGGTCCAACTATCTCGATATCAAAGGGCCACTTTTTCCTAAACTTCCCCTCTACTTTTCTAATATTTTCTTTGATAAGAACCTTCTCCTGACAATAACAAACACAACAAAAAAAGAATTAACAAAATTGGTCCAGGCGTTGTTGAGTTATGCGCTTACTAACACATTTTGCGATCCATTTTTATATACAAGTATAAGACTAGCTACTCTCGCGCGGTTTCACCCGCTGCTCAGCTCCATTTAATGGTACCGTGATGCTTTATATCCTATAGCATTCAGAAACATTGTAGCTATCTATCAGTGAAAGAATTTCGACGAAAGATTACCCCCCTACATACAAACTTTCAAATTTTACCTCTTTATAATATTAGAATATTTAGATTTAGGACTATTTTATCACGCATGTCAAGCAATACTTTGATCAATGCTTAGTTATGTATGTGGTTAAATACCGCCGTTACCCATCGGCTATAACATATAAACATTCAAGATGTTTCAAGTTATTTTCGTTAAATGTTTGCTTATCTAGTTAATTATACCTACTACATAGTTCTAATTAACGGCACACACGATAAATACCATTTACTTATCCGAGCTGTCCATGTTATAAAAGTTTTGTGTTTTCATTTTTTTTGCACAGGGCAGGGAAAGAGGCAGCGTTTGTCACAACCCTATTCTAGACAATATGGAGTGGAGACATTTAGTATCAGCATTACAACTCTGCGAAGCCAACGCCCCAGTACCGTCATTGTGAGGACCACCTAGAAGACACGGTGGAGCATACGGTGGCGGTGTGCCCTGCCTGGGCTGAGCACCGCCGTCTCCTCAGGGAAGTGAACGGCGGCGGCGACCTCTCGCGCCCGGCCTTAGTCGAGGCCATGGTGTAGAGCGAGAGGAACTGAGAAACCATTTTATCTTTCTGCGGACCACATAGCAGCAAAGAAGGAATTGGAGCGCTTGAGGGTGTTATTCTCAGCTACACACTCGGCGACACTTCGGGCTCCGGCCTTTGGGGATCGAGCGATGATCCCGGGCCACCGTAAGGTCGGACGGCGAGCAAGAATAGTTCAGCGCATAGCGTTCCGCGCGCGCCTCAAAGAGCTTATAGATCACCACAGACGGGGCCCTATAGGGCTGATGGTCAGCCGGGGTTGCGGGGCTAGCGGCCTCGGCCTATACTTACCTACAATTCTAATGTATTTACTCACTAAGTACAAAACCAAAAATGTCATTGTCATATTATAATCTACTATGTTACTTTTAAGTACAGAAATATCACTTTTTAAACAGACAATGTATCAAACACATCTAACAATGAAAGAAAAAAAAGTTTTTTTTAAAAATCCTTTTGTTTTTAAGAAAAGAAAATAAATAAACAAATCGTACACACAACATAATGAAAAAAAGAACGCAAAGAAATCATCTGTCTTAAACATTATTCTGTACCTATTTAATTTAAAAAAAGAAACCGAAAACCGGTAGGTACCTAACTCACAAAGGCTAACGCACTTGCACACAGATAAAACACAAAAACAAAATAACAATAAAAAAAATCGAACTCACCGAAACAGCAACGAAAATAACGGTCAACACATTCGAAAACAACCCCATGGTTGCTTCACAAATGAAATTTAAACTTTAAATAATGTTTTTTACGTGTAAACTAGTCGGTTTTGATAAACATTGACCAAAGCTGTGACCTACAGATATGTCGCGGCAATCGACGCGTTACGCACTCAACTGGAGCTAGTTCTTGTGAGCGGAGGGGGAGGTGGGAGGGGAGATACCTACCTACATTCAACTCGATGCTTACTCTTTAGTATAAATATTTATGCAGCGTTCTCTAGCACATTTAAATGCCTTAAAATGTGTTTTATCACTACATAGTACAAAACAAAGTCGCTATCTCTGTCCCTACATATTATATTATGTTGATATGTATGCTTAAATCCTTAAAACTACGCAACGGATTTTGATGTGTTTTTTTACACATATAAGAAGGTTGTAAAAGAAGGTTTATATCAAAATCCAAACTTATGTATATTATAAATGCGAAAGTAATTCTGTCTGTCTGTAATTTCTTGACGCCTAAACTACTGAGCCGATTTGTGTGAAATTTCGTACAGACATAGTTTGGAACTCGAGAAAGGACATAGGATAGTTTTTATACCGAAAATCTGCAGGGACTCCGCGAACGAAGTAGTGGGGAAAAGCAAGTGTATTCTATTATTAATTAAATAGTCAACAAAATTAAGTAAGGTGGGGCGGTTCCCTCATCTAAAGATGGGTGAACTCATCTAATTTCGTGACAAAGGCATTTGAGTAATAAAATACCAGTAAATTATTAACTAATTTAATTCAGTCTCAGCATGAGATTTTATCAGTCTTTTATGAGGAATATTAGCACAAATAATCAGATTTTTTTCTAGAAGCCTAGGAGTTATACCAAATTTACTAAACCAAGTCAACTTGCCTAATTCCGTGGTGACCTCTTTAAGTCCGTGATAGCTTATACTTTAATTCTGATATAACGGAATTAGGCAAGTAACTTCGAGATCGGTCTCCGAGTAGTTTCTGTTCTTCTTGTTGGGGTTATCCATGATATATCTGAATGTGAATAAGCAATTTAAAATAATTAATACGTACCTACCTGCTAAGATTTTAGCGTCTGCCCAAAGTTGAGCTCATATATAAGAATAAACTGTGAAATTTAGTAAATTACTCACGCAATTACGGGACAAGTCCAAAAAAAAGTGTCAACTAATTCCGTGATGGCAAAATATAATATTGGCTCAAAGTCCAGACCAGATTAAAGTAATAAAATAACATCAATCTCGTCTACTGCACTCAAAATAAGTCAATAATTTTAGTTAAAACCACAAAAAGTTGTACATAACTACTATAATTCATCAGACGCAGAACTTTGACGATTTTTTTACTACCACATCGAGGTAATAAAATATACAATTCATTTTATTCGAAAGAAGCTAAAAAATGGGTTAAATACTTATATACATGAAGCAAAGTTCGCCACCAATTCACAACCACTGCTGAAACCGTCGAAATTCACGCGCGAACTGACAAAACCGTTAGCTGTTTCTATCTCGCTCACTCGAGCATCCCCAAAATTTCCCGACGAATTCGAGATTAATCACAGAGGCTTAAGGTTGTATTTCACACCTTTGATTTCACTCGTATAGCCCTATGATAGCGCTCAAACCAAATATCACCGAATTAGGCGAGTCACAGAATTAGATGAGTTCATATAAAAATGTAAAAGCATTACTCAACCCGAGCGTACCTACGGCGCGTAGCTTCTATGAGCCAATAGACCACCATATGTAACATTAATGGGGCGATGGGGCACAACATAGCCGATAGACGGACGAGTTTTTAGTCAGTAAGAGTCTGACACTCCGTAGGCGAAAGAGGTCATTTTATGATTTTCCCTCCCCAAAAAAAGGGCATTCTCTGCAAAAGTTTGGATATTGTTTTTTTCATTTTGTCTTTCTTTGTAAAGCAACTAGCTACTCTCCCGCTGCTGGGCTCCATTTGATCGTAGCGTGATGTTTTATAGCCTATAGGACTCAGGAACATTGTAGCTATCTACAGTGAAAGAATTTTGGCAATCCGACCAGCGGTTTCAAAGATTACCCCCTACATACAAAGTTAAAAATTTTACCTCTTTATAACATTAGTATATACTTAGATGTAGACACCTAGGGGCGGGCCACTAGCTTACAATAAATATCGTCGGTGCGCATACAAACAATATGTGCATTTTTTGACAATTAGTTTTTTCGCTAGATAGCATTAATTTTTAACGACACATCGATGGCAAAATCACTTATGTGAAAATGGGCGAGTTTCCAACTAGTCAAATTCAATACTTTTATCCAAACGTCAAAAACGATAACTTTCTATGTAATTTGTATGAAAAACTGAGCTATGACGTCATAACATTTTTGCGTCAAATAGCTTACTTATTTCATTATAATTAGCTAAAAAAATCTAAAACTTAGTGTATCGATCGATCAATGAATAAAAGTATAGTTATTTTTCAATATTTTATTGTATTGAAACATCGAATTAATTTATTTTTGACCTAGGAAACTACTCAATTATTACTGGAACAAAATTTGCAATCTTTTAAGTCAGAGAAAGAAAACTGTCATGCGCTCGATTTGCACATAACAAGTTTGTCGTTTTTTTTTACATGTGTATTTTTTTTGCTCACATTAGAATGTGACACCACGACACCACGTGGACAACGGCGTGCAATTAATAAGTTTGAGGTTAAAATGTAGTTGTTATTTAAGAAAATAGGATAGTTTACCGTTTAAAATTCATAAATATATTTCAATCTCAGAATACAGAACAATCTGTTTTCTGAGATTTCAATATGAGTGGATTTAATTTTGATACCTTAAAACCTCTCTACAGATTTATTATGAGTATAAATGAGGTGTACTCAAGTAAATTTACCTGCCGTACAAATGTCCTCTATCCAAATCCAAACTTCCAAACTAATATTACAATTGCGAAAGTAACTCTGTCTGTCTGACTGTCTGTCTTTTCTTCACGCCTAAACTACTGGACCTATTTGAGTATTTGGTTTTACAGACATAGTTTGGTACTCGAGAAAGGACATAGGATAGTTTTTATACCAAAAATCTGCAGGAAGTCATTATTCCACGAGAACGGAGTCGCGGGAAAAAGCTCATATATTATTATTGACATTGTGATGATAGATCGATCAAGGAAGGCGTCGCACAATGATTATTGATACATTTGATATAACAATCCCACATGACGAGAATCTTGTGAAAGCTGAAAAAGATAAAGCAAGTAAATATCTTGATTTGGCTCATGAGATTATCGACATGTGGGAGGTAGACTCAGCAATCATTGTGCCGATAGTCGTGTCTACGAATGGTCTCATGGCTAAAAGCCTTAATAAACACCTACGCTTATGTTGGATGGTTGGGTCAAGAACCTGCAGTAGATGCAGAAAGCTGTATTTCCAGATACGGCGCGCATTGTCTGGAGCCCTGATTGCTTGGAATCCTACCGTAACCGGGGGGGGGATACTGCTTTTTAATTTTTTTTATTTTTTTGTTCAATATTTAATGTCAAGTGTAAAACTAATTAAAAGTGTTTAACATTAATAATGTGGTGGTAATTGTGAGCAAAATTGTCTACTTATACAATTATATTGCTAATTTTTCCGGTAAGCTCAGCTATTGCAAGTTTTAAATTATAAGACAAAAGTAAGCATTAAAATATAATTCAGGTACAGGTTACACTTATTGCTTGTAAAAGTAAAATTGTATGCATAATGCTCATATAAAATGTCACAATACTGATTATATAAACAAACATGATTAAAACAATAAAAACAAAATGAAACAAAATTAGTGTGGCCTTAAAGTCCCCAAGCGACGGATGACCAAATGCGACAGCAGCGCCTGGAGCGCGCGGTGCAGTGGCGGCGCGACAGCGGGCGGCGCGCGGTTGCACCAGTTGCCCGTGCAGACGCACGCGTGGAAGCGCGCGTACAGCGAAATGCCGCGCGACAGCGGCAGCAGAGTCGCCATCGGGCTGGCGATGCAGCCGTTCTTCACGTTCTGTAATACAAGCTCTCTAGAGCTGAGCGCACCGTGACTACGACCATCAAGCGCCCTGCTCGGTACCCACAATGAGAGCCAGCTCCAGCTTGGCCAGCCGCTTGCTGCCGAAGTGCTTGCCCAGCAGTGGCCGGTGCTTGGCGCGGCAGGTACGCTGCGTGTACACGCCCGAGAGGTCCGCCCATCGGACTGCACAGCCGCCCGTAAAACGGCCGTAGATGGAATGTGGCTCCAACGGGTTCTCCACAAAGTTGTGTCTGTAGAGACATGAGTGGTCAATGTATCACTTTGGCCGCCGTCTTAAATAGAACATTCCGATACCTGTCTGTCAGTAAGGTAGGTGTCAGTTTTACTCGTACTTAAGATATTACTCACATTTTAAGTATATTTTAGAAGAACAATTACAAAAAAGGAAAAGGACCCAATATTGAACCTTGAAGAACGCCCACTTTCATCTCAGACCTTTGTGCGTTAACAACCATTTAAGTATATATGAAGCTAATGCCTTCAAAGAATCCAGCAACTGATACACTTACACATCCAGATGACGGCAGTACTTTCTGAAGGAGGCGATGTGACCTTTGGCGCGTGCGTCGACAGGCGCCAGAGGCAAGAAGTCCCCGCTGAATGCGTCAGCACAGTGCGCGGTGCGCGGGATGTCGGTGGTCTTCAACCCGCAGACAAAGCACTAGACATTACGGAACACGATCAGTAGAGAACGAGCAACACTACAGTGAACCTTCTGGCATACCTTGCTGATGACGGAGGTGTTGGCAAAATCGTAGGGTAGAGGTGTTGTGCTCGTGGTGGTCGGCTCGGTGGGCGTCGGACACTTGGGCACGCCTGACCTGAGGACCACAGCCAGGGTACACACAGACGTCCGCTACACTGCGCTAGAGTAACTTCATGCCTGATACTCACTCTATCAGCGTCCTGTTGAACTCCTCGGTGAGGTTCCACTCATAGTCGTACGTCAGGTTTGCTAGGATGCCTAAGATCGCACTGATGTCCACATTGGATTTTTCCTGTAGTTACGTTTTTTAATTAATGTTTGTATTTAATAAATGCGCGAATACATACTCGTACTTATGTATATATGTATGTATTCAAGTATACGCTAAGAAAACCGTTGCGAGGTAATCTGAACGTATACAATTTTTAATAATAAGTTTGAAATCGCTAATCAGCCTTGAGCAAGTGTTGTAACTAATACTTACAATGTTTCTCTGTTTGCAAAGAGGCCTTTGCTCACTAGTGGCTGATGATGATAATGAAGTTGACTTTATGCCGTGGCTATTTACGACTGGGAAAAGACTAAGGCCGCACGAAGGTTATTTAGGAACCGCAGAACAACTTTAAATCCAACGACTTCGGAATTTCACGTTTTCAATCCAGTTTTTACAAACTTACGCTGATAACCTTATTGCGGCCAAGCCATAGATTGGTATAGAGACAAGATCCAGCTCGAAGGAGCCATAAGTAGCTTGATTGTTAATAGCCAAATTAAAAATACACAAATTGATGCTTGATTAATTCTACAAATCTTGTACTTGAAGCTAACTGACGAATGCGTACTTAACTGTATGTGTATGAACAGACAAACCCACCAACATATGTTCCATTATTGGTGTTAATTTGATGTACAATTATAAAGTAAGTAGTTGTCTCCTGGTGACTCGAAGGTTAGGGAGCCCGCATCTCATGCGTGAGGGTATTGCAGTTTCGAAACCTTGCAAGTACCAATGTGACCTTTTCCGAGTTATACCAAGTTCAAAATTCTCTGTGTGAAAAGGCCTCTTGCCTTTGCTCAACAGCAGCAGTGGCTACTCATAGGCTGATGATGTGTGATGATGATAAAGTAAATATTTTACTTACCGGCAAGTTTACTTTCGGCCGCTTACGAGTGGTACCCTATTTAGTGGACAAACAATACAATTACAATTCGGGTTTCCTCAAGGAAGCGTCGTAGGTCCATAAAAGAGCTCGAAGATTTCATGATACAAAAAAATTAAAGACGACATATTATAAAAAGTGTTAATCTTTAGTTTTAGTGCTCGAGCGTGGCGGATACTTATAGTGTATTTTCTTGCTCTGTTTGTGTGAAGAGAAAATAGGCTTAGGGTATAAATAGTCACAGCTCCATAGAGCCACCCGGCACCCAGGCGGCACCGCCTCGTCGCACGACGCCACTTGTTATCGACAGGTGGGTGAACGTCGCGCTCTACTCATAATAAAATGACCCCAAGAACATTTACGTAGGTTGGTCAAATAGCCCCAAGACTAGACTGTCGTCAGGTAGTGCCAACCTTCAAGCACTATAAGTCAGTTTTTTTATTACAATAGCGAAACAGAGTATGCAAAAACACACATCCTCTTGTGTGACAAGGTCTTAGAACTGGTAGATTTCTGGAATAAGTGGGGAAACGGGCAGAAACGTCCCACAGTCAGCCGGTGGAGTCCACGCGGTCAACGAGTGGACGTTGCTTGATTCACGAATTTTTAGTCTGTTAATAATTGGAAAGTGTGCAGCGCGCGGCTCACTCGGGGTCCGCGGGTTAGCAACGCAAGGGAAACATTCGAGCAGCGAGTTGTCACCGAGTGGTCCACCCGTTAAGGGCGAGGTATTCTGGTGACGCTACGGAGTTGATGAGGGGGTGTTGGGTGGCTCTAATGAGATGTGACCTTTAATCTGAATAGCACGGACGGTGGGAGTGGTTAGAAAAGAGACCTCTTCAAAACATCAAAAGTTACGCTTAAATGGGCGGATTATTTACGTGCACTTCCTTTAGCACGTTGGGAATGACAGGATAATTGGATAAAGGTATACATATTTCAATAATACACACTCGAGTTACTATTATATAAAAAGTTGTGTTAGGTCGACCGGAGTGAAACCACGGCCTCACAGAACACCGGTGTGAAACAACCATAGCGTTGTCTCGCCGCGTGATTGAGGTTACCGGAGTCCCAATCCTTCCCCTTCCCCTTGCTTCACAATTTCTTATGCTCTTGATCAGCACCAGAGGAGATCCATTGCTTACCATCACACCATCAGCTACTTGTCATCATCATCATATTTATCATTAAAAATACCTGGCTGGGCTAAATGCCTGGTAATGACCCTGGCTGCCGGGGCAAGCTCTCATTTACGATAAAATGGTAATTTAAGCTGAGTAACTCGCTATAATCCGACACAAATATTATAATTTTATTAACAAAATGTTAGACTTACTTTCGGTTTTGACTTTTTCTTCTTCTGAAACAGTAAACAAAAACATATTTAGCAATCCAACAAATGTATCATGTTGCATCGAAACAATAATAAAATGCGTGGGAGAGCCAAGCTTCGGTACGAATAGGTAGATGGCTCGACTGGAGTGATACCACGGCCTCACAGAAAACCGGTTTGAAACAAGCACAGCGTTGTGTTTCGCCGTGTGAGTGAGGTTACCGGAGGCCCAATCCCTCCTCAATCCCTAAATCTCCAAATCCATAATCCCAAAAAGATTGGCAACGCACTCGTAACTCCTCCGTTGCGGGTGTCCATGGGCGGTGCTGATTGCATACCACCAGGTAATCCGTCTGCTCGTTTGTCGACAAATTACATGAAAAAAAAAAAAATTAATAGAGAACAAATATAGTATCAATATTGAACCTGGCGAAGCTGGGGTGTCTCGCCAGTACATAGTATAATGATATAGTTACCGTCACTGGTTCATCGTCCTCGAACTGAAAAAGGAAAGAAATACAAGATTAAATCACCATGGACTCAAGCGATGTGAGCAATTACTTTGATTTAACTTTGACTTTAGAATATGATGATGCATACAGTCATCATATGCTCAACTCAGCCATATGTTCAGGAAACGTCCAACTTAAAGTAGGCAAACTATTATTAAATGAAAAGTACTTACTACCCAAGTCGGCCTGGTACTAGTACTCTGTGGTAGAAGAGAAAAAAATCTTGAATCACAAACAATACGATAAAATAATATACATATTCTACAAAATATTCAATACAAAATATTCTACAAAAATGGATTGTACGAAACAGACGCGATAGCAGTCAGCCAAAACTGCACTTATGCGCAAGAGTGTCTTTTGCATGGCTCCAAAAATCTTTAATAAAATACCAAAAAAGTGGAAAGAATTGCCGTTCGTATTATTTAAAAAAAGGCTTCGTAGCTTTTTAGTAATGAAAGCATATTATAACATAAACGAGTTTCTAAATGAAAAAGATTTTGTATTTCATTGTTAACCTGCTTCAGTTTATGTCTAACTTAAAGTGTAAATTGCTATTGAGTTATATTGTTATTAGGTTATTAGTCTGTATTAAGTTTGTATTTTTGCTGTAGATTGTTTTAATTTTAATTTTTTTATTTAACTTATCGAGCAATGTTTTTATATTTTGCATGCCCAATGGTAAAATATGGCTGTGCTTGTTAAAAAATTGTCATCTTGATTGTTACCCATATTTGCGAAATAAATACATCTTTATCTTTACATGTCGACTGGATTCAAGCAACTCCTGTGCAAAATGAAACTTGTAAAATCAATGAAAATAACAAAAAAATACTTCTGTACATAAACGATTTTCTTTCAAGTCTAACGTTTTTATTTACCTAATTGTGGAACTAAATAGATTTTTGATTGTTATGAGATTTTGGACACAGAGAGTAAAGTCCCCTAATGTCGGAAAAGGAGGATCTTCCGAGTAAGGGAGGGGTTCCGCCTGGCGGGCTACTGCCAACAGATGTCCGTTTGGTTTTCTATCCGGGTTTATTCGAGCGCAAATTACACATGCGTGACACTTTGTCGTTAATATCGCCACAACATCTTGCCGTTTACTATACAAAAATATAATTATTTTCAAAATAATTCTTACTTGTGTGTCAGCCACAGTAGTCCCGGTAACGTTCTCAGTATTCGTTACTTCCTGAAAAATAAAACGTTAATGTGAATTCTTTTGACACTAAACATCTCATCAGTCATCGACAACGCGACCTCTCTACAGTTGGATCCATTCCCAATCCTTAATGCCTAATAAATCAAGTCTCAAAAGTTTTCTCCGTGAGCGACGCCCCTGCTTACCATCGAGTGATCGGTTTGATCACGCTTGGGTTGTGGGCTAACCATGCTTCGAAAGGAATGAAACCACGGCGTCACAGAATGTGGATGTCAAATCAAAGCCCAACCCTCCTCCCTTCCCCATCTCCAACATCGCTCAGTATCTGGTGATCCGTCTGCTCGTTTGCCAACGTATTCCACAAATGTAACGGTCCTAGGACCTTATCATACTGGCGGGTGTGGCAAACATTGGGGTCGCGAATTTCGTTTCACTTAAATAGATCGTAAAATAACACTTACTGTGTAGTTTGCATATTGACGTTACATGTTGATCTAATGTATATCAATACAAAAACAGAATGGCAAATATTATCAGAATTTACTGGAATAAATTCGATGCGGATACGTAAGCTGGCGAACCAGACAAACACTGAAAAAAACTTCTGTTATATACTTACAGTCAAAACCGTTGATATGGTCTGAGGACAGAAGAAAAAATATTAAATTAAAAAATATATTCGTGGTAACAATATTCAAGAAAAAAAGGAATTTTGCAGCAGACTTAAACAACGAGCCCCCACAGTTTGTCGTGTACGTCTGCAATTATCTAGCAATTAGTTAAGTTCATGAGGTTACTGTAGTAAACCAACTCTCTCCCGCCTTGTGCGTGCCTCAAAAAGTCAATAGACCTCCATAGGTGCGGCCCAACAGCACCGATGTTCAGACGAGGTTCGGAGCAAGCGCAACCACTACCAAAATATAAATGCATCTGTAAAAATTCTGGTGGCGATCAACAAGTACAAGGCCATGTGTTTTTATGGCCGTCGGAACGCGCCACCTCCAGATGGGTCCCAAATAAAGACAGGAGGGGTTTCCACCGGCGTCGAGCCGGTAATGAAGTACCTGGGGCTCGTCCTCGACAGCCCGTGGAAGTTGACGGAGCATTTCCGTCGTTTGGCTCCCAAGTTGGAACGGACTGGGGCTGCGGTCAAGTGGTTCCTTCCCAACCGTGCAAACGCCTCCTGCCGGAGGTTGTATATGGAGATTGTGCGATCCATGGCTCTTTACGGGGCCACTGTGTGGGCGACGGACTTAAGGCGGCGGCCAGATTGTACGCTGGTCGCGTCCCAGAGGGTCATTAGCAACGACTGCCGCAACCGAGGGCCGGGCACGTTGTTATAGCAGCGGTAAGACCCTTCGAGGAGTGATTTGAGAGACGTCACGGCGTCCTCACGTTCCGCCTGACGCAGGTGCTTAGCGGGCACGGCAGCTTCGGCAGGTTCCTGTTCCGGATCCAGCGGGAGGAAATGCCCGAGTGTCGTCATTGTGAGGACCACGTAAAGGATATGGTGGAGCATACGGTGGCGGTATGCCCTGCCTGGGCTGAGCGCCGCCGTGTCCTCAGGGAAGTGATCGGCGGCGGTGACCTCTCGCGCCCGGCCTTAGTCGAGGCCATGGTGCGGAGCGAGAGTAACTGGGACGACGTCTCCTCCTTCTGTGAAGCAGTTATGCTCGCAAAGAGGGAGGCGGACGGCGTGAGGGAGCAATCCTCCTCCTCACGCCCCAGCCGCCGTAGCTCCGGGCGTCAGGGATCAAGAGACGATCTCCGGCCACCGTAAGCATGCGTCTGCGGACGGCGAGTAAGGGTAGCTCGCTGCCCGACCAGAACTATACCAGAGCGCATGACGCGTAGCGTTGCGCGCGCGCCTCAAAGAGCCAATAGACCAACACAGACGGGGGTTACAGGGTAAGCGCAATCCCGGCTGTGGCACTGACACTCCCTCCCGACCTGGGCGGGAGAAGTCATTTGATGATTTTCCCCTGAAAATAAATTGGTAGAACTTTTACAGATTTTTATCCGTAAATATTCTGCCAATCGGTCCAACCTGGAGCCAATACTTACCGAATCAGTTGTGAAGCACACATACACATTCAGGCACGCCCAATCTAAAGACTTTTTTTTGGGTTCTCCAAATAGTTGACAAAACATTCATTTTAGAGAGCCATGTTTGTTTTGTGAGATCCAAATCATCCACATGTATTCTCTTATTATGATATAAAATGTATTCATATCTGAATAATTTGGATAATATTTTCACACACGCACACTTTCTTCTATATTCACATTATGTTTCTTACTTCTTTTCTTTACTGAGTGGCGGTACCGCCCTCCGTGACGTGAGTCACTGCAGGGTGCCACCTGAAAATCAGCGTTGAGCATATTTGCTCAACTATATGCTGAGGTGGAGGCCCTTTTGGCATGGGCACATGAATATTATTATTTTAACGTTTTATTTTCGTTTTTTTTTTCTTTTTTAATACTTTATATGTTATTCTTGTTTTGTTTATTAATGTATTCATAAATACTGTGTTCTTATTATGTATTTTTATATACTTGTATTTGTGTGCCTATTTGTCGAATAAATGTGTTTTCTTTCTTTCTTTTCTTTCTTTCTTTCAGTTACTTCTCTCCTTCAAAGTGAGGCGAGAGGGAGTGTCAGACTATTACGGACACCCCTCCCCTGCCCCCAGTTCCTTCTTCTGCTTTAGCTGAACATCAGCCCTATTATTCGGTGGTTAGGATGGCGATGCGACGCCGTGACCGTGCCTTTGCCGTGTAAGAACAAGAGAGATCGCACTGACGAAAATTGGGCAGCCTTTAAAGTTGCGCGAAATAGATGCAACCAGATGGTGCGCTACACCAAACGCCGCCATATTCTCGAAAATACGTCTTCGTCTTCTTCTGCTGATATCGGGATATTTCTTGATCTCTCGGTGTCGTACTATAGTCAGACTTTTAATTCGATTCCTGATTTGACATTGACCACTGTCATTTTGTGAAATAATGATACCACATATAACAGTGTAGTGATGAACACAAAAATCGATAAACAATCAGTGAATCAGGTTCAGGAAGGCATTCAAAAAATTAGGGCTACCGAATGGTCTAAATGTGTATCCCATGTTTTCAAAGAAGAGGAAAAAATGGGTAAGCTATATATGTTAATTGACAATAAATATCAAAGACACAATTCATAATAAATGTTACATAGAGTAACGGCGATAGCGATAGCGATGACGGCGACAATTTATAAAATGTCTGTTTTATTTGTCACGTTCCTTCATGATCACATTTTTGATTAATTTCACACACAATTGCAAAAGAAAAGTCTCAGATCGTTAATAAATTGTCAAAACAAAATTATCGGTTCAACAATATTTTATTTCCTGATAAACTTAGTTTACGACAGTAACTTTATAAACGAGAGGAATCGATTCAGAAATATTTGATTTCCATATCGAATAATTTCGCAACGTCACTATTTATTACGTGTCATAACGTTGCAACACTGAAATTGTCAAATCTGGAATGGAATTAAAATTCCGAGTATAGTACTATTGATATAGACAACCTCAACAGCCATTTCTGCTCAGTCTGGTCACACAACACACATTTCGCTTCATCCCTGTCGAGTCAACAGAGGTTGGAAAGATAATCCACGTCAGTCAGGATATGCGTCTAGCCATCCTCTTCCATTTCACGATCTCTGACGAATCACTGGCCTGGTTTTCCTCTTATCTTCAGGAGCGTCAGCAGTCAATCAAACTTGATGATAGTACGTCTGGTTGGTGCGATTTAAAAGCTGGCGTTCCTCAAGGCGGTATTCTTTCTCCTCTTTGATTCTTTATCTTTATAAAGCTAATTACTGCTAACCTTCGGTGTGCGTACCATCTTTACGCCGACGACTTACAGCTTTACTGTCAAGCCAACATTGACAATCTGACTGATGCCATTTCCGATATAAATGACGACTTAACTGCCATCAGTAACTCGTCAGAAAAATTTGACATTACGGTGAACTGTTATTATAGGCAGCTATCGCTTACTCAGTACCTAAGGTTGACGTTTCCTCTTTACAGGCTGTCCGTCCGTTTCAACGGTGTGATCATCCCTTTCAGTGGCAGCGTTAGAGATCCGGGTATAATCATCGACACCAATATAAATCGGCAGGCACAGGTCACCAGTGTTGCGGGCACTTAACCGTGTTAAAAATCTGCGTCCGTCAACAAACTGGTGCTGAGGCTTTGTTGTTCCCTATTATTAACTATGGTGATGTTTGTTACTACGACCTAAATGCAGATTTCCTCAATAACTGCATTCGATTCGTTTTCAACCTGCGTAAATATGATCACTTTTCTGCACATCGGCTGCAATTAAAGTGGTTGCCCATTCGCCAGCGCAGGGAGCAAAGGGCACTAACCTCTCTTTTCTCTTTCCTAGATTCACCCTCTTCCCAAAGCTGCCTTGCTCCTTATGTTCAATACACTTGTACAACAAAAACATAACAAATATCTTCGTTCTTCTCATAACCGACTTCTCTAATGCCCCACTCACCGTACCAACTTCCTCCATTCTTCTTTCTTTGTTCAGGCATTCTATTGTGGAATGCACTCCCCTCCGATGTCAGGACGGTGTCCAGTCGCTTGACCTTCAAGCAAAAAGTTCGGGAGCTTCTACTGAAGAGGTTAGCGGAGTCTTCACAATAATATTTTTATAGGAATATTGTTAAATATAAGTAGTGCATGTAAACATTAAATGAAATTTTAGTTCCGATATATATTTTGTATTTATTTTAATAGTATTTATGTAAGTAGGTGTATAAAATATATATGTATCAGTAATCTCTCGATTGTGCTTGCTTCTTGCACCTACTGTTATCTCAACATCGCCCAAAGGTTCGACTAGCAGAGAATGCCTGTGGCATTAACTCTAGTTGTACACAGTTGTACACAGATGTTTGTGCAAAAGTATATAAATAAATATAGGGACCCGTTTGTGGTGGTGTATTGGCTCTATAGGGCACGCGCGGGACGCTATGCGCTGTACGCTCTAGTCTGGTTCTGGTCGCCGTCCGCAGACGCGCGTGGAAACTACAGAACTGTAACTTCTTGGATGTTGGGGTGTGTATAGGTTACGCATTACTTAAATAATATAAAAAAATTGCAGACTTAAGTGTTGGAGAGTTAATGGGTCGGTCAGAAAAGAATGGCCCCATCACAGGGTGTAA